ATCACAGTTGGACACCACTTTCAGATCTGAGCTAAACAGCCAACACTGCAAAGCTCCCATGTTCTTCTCCCTTCCACTTGCCTGATGCAGACAAGCACAATGACCTTGAAGGTTACTAGTGGAGATGGTGGAGCCAGAGGGTGGAATAGAATGAGCCTGGGTCCCTGCATCACTCTTTGGAAGAGAAGCTCTTGGCCATCATGGTGGCACCAGACAAAACCACAACCAGTGGGTGAAGGGAAGAGAAAGGTGTTAGAGATGAGGAAGGGGTTGTGGACACAATGACTGAAGACAAAATGGTTGAAAGCAGTGGTCACTGAAGGGAGAGTGAAAAAAATGCCTGCTATTGTGGTGTCCCCAAGGCTGGGAGGTTAATCTAATACAGCAGTCAGCAGCACCCCAGTTAAGAGAAGTTGTTTCTGTTTCTGTGCTGAACTGACTCATGACAAGAGCTCTCAAGGTGTAAGTCAGAGCAAATCACTAATAATACATAAAAACATTATAGGCCCTAACCAAAAAGAACACATGAGCTGGCCAGAATCTACCTAAAAAGAAAGATTTGGAGTCCGTTTAAAGTTCCTGGGTGGACAAACTCAGGAATAAAATTCCTTTGATGTCACATGAACCCTGGCCCATGCCTATCATTCCATCCTTATCCTCCTGCACCTGCCATGCATACTGAGCTCCAGAAAAACCACAGAAAAGCCCCCAAACACACCATAGGTCTTTCTTTCATATTCCACAGAGGGGCTGGGGCTCTGTGGAATATGATGGGAAATCATCACAGATGGGAAATCATCCTTCCAGTTTCCAAGACATCCAGAGGTGGCACCCAGGGAGAAGCCTCCCCACTGGATAGATGAAAGGCCATCTTTCTCCACAGTGGACCTTGATTCCAAGAGCTGTTCCCTTTGAATGAGCTCCAGGAGCAGATGCAGATCTCAGAGACAAGTGGGCACATCCCAAGCTACAGATGTGAGGCCTGGCAACTGAACTGACAACTCAAATAGCATCTCTCATGGATGAGCCAGGCCAGCTGGTCTGTTCCACTGGCTGGTAACATCGTGCCTTAGAAACGTGCCTGCCTCTTATTTTCTGATGTGTCACAATTTACCCTTTTGTGAATGTTTCAGAACATTCTGGAGTATAGGAGGCTAATCATCCCTCATGGTGTGACATCTGTTTGGGGAGACTGAGGGCTCAGGCCCAGAACCTCTCTATGTCATCCTGAAGGCAGCCACATGGTCACCGTTGGTCCATCCACTGCCATTTCCCTTTCAGTGGTTCACAAATCAAGAAGAAAGGGAAAACACATTCTTCAGGCTGGCCATGTAAACAAACCCTGAGAAAGAAATACACTGTACTAAAAGTAGAGTACAAAATAAACACCCATCCATGCTCTGAGAAGATTGATGTTCTTATTGACAACAGCAAAGCCAGTAGAAGAACCATGCATCTATTTTGGTCCCACCCTTGATGAAAGATGGCCTTCATTTAAGTTTTCATTGGCTCCAAAGAAAGGGAAAGGAGCCTCAGTTTCTGCTGCTCATGTCAGTTTGTGTTTTGGCTTCAGAACATAATAAACATCAGCTCTGAGGGCCTGTCCTGGAGTTGAGGACAAAGAGAGGGGGCTTCAGCCTTTGGAACTCTTTCATGACCAAATGGCACCTGCTTAAAGAGTTCCTACTTGCAACATGTCTTATAGAGGAGAAGATAAAAACCCTGATCCCAATCAGCTTTATATCTTATCAACCCAAGGATCACTCTGAACCTAAGATTCAAAATGAAAAACTAGGATAGTAACTCTTTTTTGAAGGCAGAGCATGTGCTGTAAACTGTACAAAACACTTTCTATATATAATATCATTTAATTCACCCAACAGGGCCCAGAGGTAGGTTGTTCTATTCTATTATGCAGAGAATGACACTGAGTCTCAGAAAAATTAAGGAAACTACCTGAAGCCCTATTACTTCTAAGTAGTAGAACCAATAGTTAAATCTGGTTTTGCTTGACCCCAAATTCTGGGCTCTTACCCAGAGCTTTGATTAGTATCAGGACTCAGGACTGAGTAAAGATGCTTATGGCTCAGACGTAGAGATTGGAGAACGAACATTGAATAAGAGTGGGAACAAGGAAAGTTTCAGGTTTGGGGAGTGCTGAAAGGTAGGTAGGCTTGATTGACACCCAGAACTAGGCCCCTCACATGGGAATTTCAGGCCAAGAGGGAATACTCATAAGGCAGAAGGTCACCTTGGCTCTCCAGACCTCTCTTTCCCCCCCACTTCCCCAAAAATAATAAAAATGGAGGGAACTCTGAGAGCACCTTATAATACTCAGTTACCCCCTGGGGTAATTTGTGTCCACAAGGTCTCTTTTTCAAGAGGAAACTTAAAGAAACCAGACTCAAAGGTTCATTGAATTGTATGATTCCATGAAGATAGAAAACAGATCAGTGGTTGGCAGGGGCTAGAAGATGAGGGGAGGATTTGACTACAGAAGGGCAGGAGAGCACTTTGGGGGGATGATGGAAATCTTTTACACCCTAATTGTGGTAGCCTTTATACAACCATATGTGTTTGCCAAATTCATTTAAGTGCACACTTAAAATTGGCAGATTTTACCTCATGTAAATTACATCTCAATAAAGCTGATTTAAATATATATTTAATAAAATAATACATATTTATACACAACTTTTTCCCCAAAGGGCACTAGCTGATGAATCCTGAGCTAGCATTTCCATTGTGTAACTGCATTGCAGTAAACCCCAGAAGCTGAATCCCTCAACTAGTTGTTCAACCTTCGCAGTAGGGAGATTTCCTGCAGGCAGCCACTACAGGCTGCTATGCCACGTCCAGTGGGAAAAAGGTTCTGAAGGGAAATGTTAGGCAGATGCTTCTGTAACCACTGAAATAAGAAGCTGATTGTTAGGGTTATCTTGGCTTCCTGCCTTCTTTCCCAGATCTTCAGAGGTCATACTGTGTATGTGGTAAAAAAAAAAAAAAAAAAAAAAATCATCTGGAAAATTGCCCAGAGCCAGATTAATATAACATCACTGTTTTTAACTTGTATCTCCCATGACATACCCATCTTATCTTCATATCTTATTGCATTGTGAAGGCCATACCTGTCTCTATGCTCAGCCTGAAAAATACAGAATAAAATTACTGAAAATACTATTTTAGCTACTGCCTGCCTCAAAAAGTGTGGCATGGCTTAAAAAATGAGCATTTCGGTAAGACTAACTATACTAGCCTAATCTATCTATTATTCTAGCTCCAGGTCACCTGTCCCCCTACACATTCTCTTTAATAAAAGTATTTCTCTCCCCAGTATGGCCAGTTAGTCCCTTTGCTTTCTGCCCAAAACCTTCTGTTTGGGGAAGATCTGGAGGCTTCTAACCCATGTTAATTGCTCAGTTGGAAAAGGAACATAAGCCACACAAATATAGTCTAACATTGAAAATAATCAGATCAGTCATGCAAATTAATAAGTACATAAGGTCATATCCCAAAAGAAAAGAGTGCAGTCTCACACCAAAAAAAGCTGCCAGAAAGAATGGGTTTTAAAGGGAAATGAAAACTAAAGAGCCAGCCCTGACTTTGGACGCCTTTAAAAGCTCCTGATGCTCTCTGCTGTGAGTTGTATGATCTCCTGGGCATTGCTGTTTGGGAGGTAGTCACACTCTGTACCGCACAACAAGGTGGGGAACTACCCTATTAAGAGGCTTTTTAGTAATAAAAATAAGAATTTAAAAAAAAACCCAAAGGCAACATTTTTATCAAAACACAATTTAATCATTCATTAAAAGGGGACAATTACAGCATTGAAGGAGCCGATCCTATAGACTAGGACTCTGAACATCAAAGGGAAAGAGACCAAGACCAGATGACAAAGCCACCCAAAAGTACAGAAGCACAGAAACCTGCAGAGTTTTCAAACTGCACTGATTTACTAGACACTAACAATAGTTTTTAAAATATTTCTTCCCCGAAAAAAAAAATATTTTCTCACAGGCTTTCAGGCTTAAACAAAGATAAAACTGCATGAAACAATTGATACAAGTGTCACATATGCTCCAAGGGCTTTATCATATAACCACATTTGCTATTATATTATCTGTCATCTTATCTTCCTTTGGCCTTAGAGTCATGGAAGTGAAATTTCATGAAGAGACAAAAAATTTGTCTTTGTAATTCTGTTTTTCTTGTATCCACTCCATTTAAAAAACTGGTTAATTTTCATTAAAAGCAGGAGGTAGGAAACAAGGAGACCGGGGAGGGGGGTGGGAATCAGTTGGTAAGTTTGGTTCTAATCTTATGAGCTGCCTTCGAATAAAGTTATAAGGTAGGAGGGCTCTACTGACTCTTATATAGGTGGACAGAGGGAGCAAAGAAAAATCAAGTGCCTTATCTGCAGGTCCATCTGGGACCGATTTACAATGTACAATTTAATGCATAAAAGAGCCTTTCTTCAGAAAACTCTCAGCACTTTACAGATATCATATAAGCATGCTAAATTTACTAATCTGCTTCATATAAAACATTGTTTCAGGTGCTAGAAAGAAAAACAAAGACGGAGATTTGATCCCTCGAGGAGCTTCAGATAATAGCCTGCCTAATTGAGCCCAGGCTTCTTTCAAGTATGGATGAATTAGCCTGGCTACATGGGGGAGAACTGGTCATTGAGACACATTGGTACAAAGAATCCCCCAAAGCCCTTAATTTCCAGATGCTGCTTGGACCACCGACACCTTCCCGGGACGCATAATACCCCTAGACCTCCACAATCCCATCCACCCTGAAAGAACCTTCTTTTCACTAGGGAAATGCATCTCTGGAGGCAGGCAGCTTCCAAAAGAACTCATCAAAGCAGGGCAGATATCCTATGTCTCCAGAGCGTGATAGAACTATGCTCCCAAATAAGCACACTTCCAAATCCCACCACCACCCCCCCACCACTCACAGATAGCTAAATAAGTGGAAAAGACCATTTTTTTCAAAGAACATTCTCTTCCTCTCTCACCCTAACACATTTACTTGGGTTTCTGGTTAAAGATCAGATCATAGTTCAGAAGGTAACCATCATTATAGACAAAAAGTTTCTGCTCAATAGGGTGGTAGTTAATGCTCTGCACTCTTTCCTGCATCTTCTGCACTGTAATGGCTAGTCGGCCTTCTCTCCCTGTGTTTGTGTCATAGTAGTAGAAAATCTCTTCTGCTTTGGTGTTCAGAGTGCGGGTGGCATACAGAACCCCACATATCATGAAGGCATTAGAAACAGATGGTTTATACTGCCTGGTGTACCAAGTGTTTAGCACCACAAGTGTGGTGTCGTTGAGTTTACTAATCACCATGTTACCAGTGCTGGCTTCAGTTGAATAAATCACCCACAGTCCCTGCTCATCCACAGCCAAGTCAATATCTTGCCAACCAACATTAGCATATGAAAAGCGATTATTATAGGCGGCATTAGGGAGAGTTTGAGTCAGTTCAGCCCTGTTGTTACTCAGGTTAATTTTGGCAATGTTCCCAGTGTTGTACCAGTTGACATACATGTAGTTGTTATAAACTACTGTACCACCACCTTGGCCATAGGTAATCCGATAATCTCGGGCATTTATGTACAATAGCAAATCATCCAGTGTCTTGTGGAGTCTGTAATATTCCAGAGTTCTTCCATCTGTATTCAAAGGGGCCACCCAATACAGACCCCCTTCTGGATTCTGGGGAGAGTAATCCCGACCCCAGGCACCATACTTGTAGGCAAACCCTCTCCAGTTGAGCTGAACTACAGCTGGCTTGCTGACATTCATGATACCACCATGGCCACAGGTCCCTGTACAAACAAGAACATAAAAGGGCATTCTTAGATAAAAATGAATGACAAGACACAAATGGTATAGTAGCCTAAGAACCAAAAGAATCCGTAAATATATTTCTTGTCAAGGTTCAGTGACGACAGTGGTTCTGATGGAGAAAAGCCAAAGACCTCTCGGTGTCAGTCTCAATGTAGACCCGCTGTTGGCTCTAGAGAAAACAACCCTCTATATCTATGAGTAGGCTTTCCTTCTGAAAATGGAAATGCTAAAACTGTCAATAGCCATATTCAAAAGGTTTGAGGGCCCTGAAAAGAGGAAAGGAGGACTTGGTGGATTTAATAGATTTTCTTCTATCATGATAGGAAAGCATTTTGCAAATTTTTTTTAAATTTCATTCTTCTTACAGAGAAATCAAGAAAGCAAGGTCATCCCACACCCTACTTTTTTTTTCCCCCATAAAGCCTGCTATTCTCTAGGATCAAAGACAATTATGATGAAGACTGTCCTGGGCAAGTGTCCATGCCCTTCATCTATCTGCCCCCCCACCGGGAACCCTAAGTGCATATCTACACCAGGTATCAGTGCTGCCCCAAGCCAATCTCAGAAAAGGAACTTTTAAATATGATATTTTAAAGATACAAAAAGATGGCGGGATTTCAGCCTCGAGAAGCCATAGAAGTTATTTTAAGACAATGTAGCCTGCTCTGTGCCCAAAGCATAGCCCATTACACAGATCACTTGGTGACCATCTTGCTGCAGAGTTATAAAATATTTTGCTGGGCATCAGAATGCCAGACAAGTACTTTACCTTTCCCGTCCAGACAGTGCCATCACAATGTGTACAATCAAGTGGGACCAGACTCACTAATCCACTGAAAGCACCTTCCCTGTAATACCAGTAAATGACCCAGGCTGGGCAACTGACCCTTCACATTGCACTCTGAAATGCCTGCCAACCCAAACCATTTATGAGCTACAGAAATTAAAGAAAATTCTTCTAGGATTTCTATAATAACTATCCAGAGTTGAACACACATTTTCTGGGATCTTAATAAACACTCTCTTGGATGACAAAGAAAATTCAAATGCAAGTACATTTGAGGTCATTTTCCCTCATCCTACTGCCTGGAGCAGAGCAGGTGAGGGAAGGAGGAACAGAACCTGAATCACTTGATCTGGCTTTGAACGCTTGGAGGGAATCAGGGAGCCGTGGAGAGCGCATGATGTGAGCTGGAGCCAAAAGCAGAGCTCCAAAGAATTACCTGATTTATCATAGGGGGCGGGAGGGGGTGGTTAAGGGGGAGCAAAGCTTTGCCTGTAAGTCTGTGCCTCTGACCTATATGGAAAGACTCATTCCTTTCCTTGCTAAATGTCTCTCCCTTCTCCCCTCCTTACTCAAGGACTGCTCAGAGGTGAAACCATTACTAGAAACCCTGCTTTTATTTTTCCAATCTGCTGGGGCTTTTTGGTCCCAGAATTACATACGTGCTCCTTAAATGCTCTCATAAATCCGCAGTTGGTGGGAAAGCCAGCCAACCATACAACAGGTAGAGAAATGAAACCATTCTGTACCCAACCTCAAATAATTTTGCATATCATTAAGCAGAACACAGTCGCAGGTTTATTTTAATAATGCATGCACCATTTCATAAATAAAAAAGCAAAGTGTGTTCAGCCAAGAGACTGTTCTCCACCAAAGAAATAATAAATAAAATTATAAATTATTATTTCTTCTCCTAAAAGTGATCTCTCAGATGAATGCTTGTTTGCTTTTGTTTATGAAACAATGCATGAATTATTAAAATAAAGTTAGCGGTGTGTTCAGTTTAATGATAACAAAAACTGTTTGAGTTTCCATATGCTACAAACTGGATTTTCTAGTTAGAATATCTTCCCGAGAACTTATTTATTTAACTACATTTCACTCTGAGGATATGAAAGAAAGTCACGTTTTTCTTGCAGGTTGGAAGACTTAGGAATTGTTTGCTTAATTGAATCTTGCTTTCCTGGAAAGAAAATACCCCAAACCAACAGCAACAAAATACTTAAAGGAAAGTTATGATGCATGAACACATCCAAGCATTATCATAAGTTTAAAGATCATAAACTACTCTGTCTTGGATGTGGAAATCCTTAGATATAAAGGAACCAAAATATACTTCTCTTAAAAAGATTACTTCTACTACTGTTAATAACAGTAATAATGGCACATCGTTTTCCACGCTGACCAGGAAATTAAAAATTATACCTGGTATAAATACCAAAACTGTATAAAGCCATAATCTCTGTTTCTCACTTCCCAACCATTCCTAAACATTCTCCTGTCCTTTTCATACCCTTCTTCTCCTCCATGTCCTTTGGGCCATTTTTAGGGCCCTCACTATGGTCAAAGGAGGTGTAAATAGAGGAGAGAACTGAGCATCCCTGCCAATACTATAGATGTGGCTACAGCCATGGTGGACCAGAGAAAAGGCAATGGTGGGCTTCCTCGACTCCTGATGGAAACAATACTGAAACTGACAGCCATCCCAGGGCCCTCTGTTCATCCAGCCCAGCTAGAGCCCCCAACCTCCTTCACCCCATCTACACCAAGAGTCCCCCCCCCACTTATCTCATATCCCTTCCCTGCCCTCTCCTTCATCTCAAGGTCTTAGTGGTACTCCATTCCCTTCCTTAGCCACCACAAGCTTACCCTAACACTAGAACAACCACTCATGCCCAACCTAATCCAAGAATGTGAAAGACCAATAAACCATTTTGCATTTTCTGGTAGAAAAGAACATGCCACAGAAATAAATACCCTTTCAGCTACTTGTACTTTCAGTTACAAGCAAGGAAGCCAAGATAACATGGTGTTAATCAGGTTGGTGAGGTGGAACTTTCTTGTTACTCTGGGAATCACAGGTGCACCCTTCTATCAGAGCATCTATGAAAGACTGCCTGGTACAGCGAAAATAGTGGCAGACAGATGCCAAGTCAAATCCTGACTCCAGTACTTGCTGACTATGTAACCTTCTGAGCTTCAGTTTCCTTATATCAAAAAAAAATAATCATAATAGCTACTCTGTAGAACTGTTAAGAAGAAGAGAGAAGGCATATGCATGTAACCCAACAAATGGTAACTATCAGCATTATAATCACGTGATGTTAGAACTTTAAGGTTCATGTGACTATCTCTCTTCCAACATAGTGGACGTTCCTATATACATCCTGGTAGCCCTGTTTCCCAGAACAGGACCAGCCATGTAGTGGCACCAAATTAGGATTATGGAATAAGAGAACGAAAGACTGATCAAATCTCCCAAACCCAGCTTACCTTATTTATAAAATCCTAGCCCTCTACCCTGCTACGCATCTTGGTTTTTCAAAAAGCCTAGTATCCACTCCACAAAACATAATGCAAGGAACCCTCCACACAAGAGTGGCCATGGTTGGCAATCTCTTCATCATGCAATTCATTAGCTCTTGCCATGGTATTCTACAAATACCCTGGGAAGCCACCAGATAAGACTTTAACATACTCTACCTTGACTTTTTAAAAAGTCTCTTGGTTGTATTTGTGTGTGCGATGGAGTAGAAAGCTTTGAATTTGCATCAACAAATGGGAATTCAAATTTGTATTGCCCAATTTTTGAAATTGGGTAAAAAAAGTTAGAAGCCAGGTGCCAAACTCCAGAATTATAACCCATAAAGATATTCTAGTTTATCTGATGGAAATGTTTACTACAAAAAAAAAGACTTATGGCTAGTACCATTTTTTCTTAATGCTATACACAGAGGAAATTTAATCTTGGATCTATGAGTGCAGTCTCTATCTCCTACCCGGACAACTGAACTTTGAGCAAAGAAGAGACTACAATTCGCTTGTGAGAATTAGGCAATTAACCTAGTCATAATCATAAAATGATAAAAACCAAATTGACTCTGAGTTACTGAGTATTTCTTACCCACTCTGCCTTTCCTAAAGCTTGGGATTTGGGCAGGTCACCCCATATCTCTCATCAACCATTTACCGAGCACCTACTATGTATCAGCACAGAGCACAGCATCATCGCCAAGCACAAAGGTGACCCGTCCCAGAGCATGTGTGCACATCTTGCCTCTCTGCAGTCATTTAGATTCAGGGGGAGATCAGAGAGAGAGTCCGTTGTTTTCAGGAAAAAAAAGTTAATGAGCAGAAGACCAATTATTTTAGATTAGAAAGTTCTATGAAATGAAGCAGAAAAGGTTGCCATTTGCAGAATAAAGCAAATATAAAGAATGTTTTATTGAACCCTAATGACATGTACTGGTTCTAAGACCAAGCTGACCATAGGGGTAGCACACTGCAACTGCAAGGGAGGGACCCAGAGAACATAGAATTGCGTTAGAGCTGAGAATTGCACACGGTCTTTTGTTCTGCGCAACTCTGCAGTGAAAAAAGCAGACAGGCCAGATTTTAAAGTCCCATAATAGTGAGTAACTTTAATTAAAGTCTCCACAGGCTCACAACTTTGTGGTGCCTGGGGAGTTTCCAATTCTGCATTATCAACCAATCCGAACAGAAAGAGAGCAAGTAAAAAGAAATTGATTTAAAAACATGACAAAAAGTCAGTTTAATATAAACATCATAAATATAATATGAACAAAGCTGGAGGAGGGCCAAGTGGCTTGGCCAGGATCCAGGTACAGCCAAGGTTGTGGGAAAGTGAGAGGAAATCTGGGTCCAATTTGCTTAAACAACACAGCTGGGCTGGGATGGCTCACAAAAGTCTAAGCGTGAGGACCTAGGGGAAAGTTCTAGAAAAAAAAAATTCTAACAAAAATAGTCCAACTGTCTCATTTGTTTTCCTTCTTAGATATACCAAGCAGTGTACTTTCTCTCCCACCACCATCTTTGAGTTACTGCCATTGGACACTCTAGGTCCTGAGATACCCGCAGAGCAAAGGGCCTTGCATTTCAGCTTCAGCTCTGCCACTAACTATCTGTGTGGCCTTCTGAAAAGCAGCATCCTCACCACCTAAGTCCCCTCCTTTGAGACATGATGGACCTGAGCCAGATGGCTTTGAATGTCCCTTCCAGTTCTAAAATGTCCTCACTCTAAGAAATGTAAAGAAAACTGTGCTGGAAAAATCTATTCCATGAGGAAAATTTCCTGTGGAGAAAGACAGAAAGAAGGGAAGGGTCAAGGGAGAGGGGAAGGAAGGATGGATGGAAGGAAGGAAGGAAGGAAGCCTTGCTCAGGTGTTACCAGGAGTTGTCACTGCTTTGACCCCTGTCCTCAAAGGGTCCTGCATGGCCCAGCTGAATGAGCTCACATTTCCAATACACATCAACACCACCAATCCCAGATGGAATTTAACCTTAGCTTGTTATAGAGGACGAGACATGGCCTTTGTCCCGAACCTCCACTGTCTGTCATACTATAACAGATTGCCAACAGAGCAGAGGGAGGGATGAGTCTCCTAAACAGCACCAAGAGGCTTATAACTATGGCAGTATCTAATTAAAGCCCTTAAGAAACCAGCTACCTTGACAAGGATCCAGAAACACACAGCCTAAAAGGAAACCGGTTGTGGAAGGAGGAATTAATGAAAATAGCAAAAAAGAGCTGAATTATTTGATCAGAAGATATGGGCCCTTTTCAGGATGAGACACTCACAACCCGCAGAGAGAGCTTCCCTGTGCCAGGGCTACACACTGAGGCAGAGAGGCAAGCTTTAGTTCACCTGGAGGGATGTGCTCAAGCACAAGAGGACCTTGCACTGCTTTTGTTCACAGCAAGGTTTTCACTTCAGTTATCATCATTAATAATAAAAACAAATTCCAGTGTGTAAGTGCCAATCATAGAGCTCTGTGCTTTCCCAGACTTGTTTCATTAACCCTCACAGCAACCTGCAAAGTAGAGACCATCCTCCCATTTTATCAATGATGAGATGAAGGATCTTCTGCTGTGGCCACATAGCTGGGAAGTTCAGGGCTTTGGGGTCCCAAAGCCATACTCCTGACCCCTACACTCCACTGTCTCCATGCATGGAGGTATTTTGGAGCACCCACATCTATGCTATGCCTAGCCCCAAGGATGATCATGAATTCGAGAGTAAGAGGCCATCCCTGCCCTCAAGGAACTCACGTCTAAGAGGGATGCCAGGCCACACCCATAAGTACTGGACATGAGGGGCCATCCGTTAAATCCTCCCTGAATCCCAAGACATGCTAAAGAGCAGGCGCATTTAAGGAAAGCATAAAGGAAAAATAGAGATGGAAGCAGGGAGGGAAAGAGAGAAGGAGGGAAGGAAGATTCAAGGCACAACCTAGCTCATCAGATATAAGAGCCAATCGGCCCTTGCAATCCACAGGGCAGCACTGATGCCATGCACATTCCAGAGGCTTTCCCCAGCCCCTCTGACAATAACCCCATCACCACAGAGATGTTTTTCTTGTTAGCAAATGCAAAGAGGACACATGTAATGTGTGGATTTTGGTTTTCAACTCATCATTGATGCTTTTCCTGTATGAGTCCCAGAACGTGATGGCAAGTGGAGCTACTAAGGGAGAGATTTCAAAGCGTAGAAGAGTAAGCTCAAAGCTGCAACAATCCCATCCTCCCTTCACCACTGCAATCCCAAATCCCTTCCCCACCCCAATCTCAGTTCCTAACTAGGCCTGGCTCAAGTGGTAAAAAAAAAAAAAAAAAAAAGAAAGAAAAAAAAATGCTTTTTTCCATGCTTACCAGGAGCAGGAGGTGGTGGGGAGACAAGACCATTGTCACCTTTAGAAGCTTCACATTCCTTTAGCCGGGTCTTCAGAGCCAGGATTTCTCGGCGAATGGCAAGGACATTGTTTTTGTCTAGTGTCTCCAGCTTCTCTACCAGGAGAGTCATATTCCTTATCTAAGGAAATAAAAATTCAGAGTGACTTTATATTATTGTGCAATTTCTTTCATAAACATTCCAGGGCTGAATTTGTCATTTAGTGAAACATTGCTAGAGAATACACCCGAGATTCTTCTGAATGGTTTCATTTGGAAGAATACATTTTATGGTTTAGCGTAAATGCCTGTCACATCTCAGGCAGATGTGTGTGACAAGAAGAAAATGGCAACGATTTTAACAGATTTAATAATAGAGCACAGGCTCTGTCTAAGCATCCACAAAGGTCCATTAAAGTTCATTTCTAATAACCTTCCCCTATAAACTCGTGTTTACTCATGTTGTATTTTAATTAAATTTCTAACGAATGGTGAGGGCCAGAGTAAACCTAAAGTCTGAAATATGTAACTAGAATTCTTAATTATAGCCCACGTCATGACCTCGCTAGTAAATTCTCTTTGATATGAATTACCCAACCATATCATAACTGTCATGGTCTTTATCCATAGAGCTTAAAAGGCTTCACTAAAACATACTCACAACAAACCCTTTCAGAGACAGTTGCCAGTATGTGGAGAAGTGTCCCAAGAGGGATCAAAGATCACATGATCATTCAAAAAGAGAAACAGACCTAGCAAGTCCAAAATCAGGTAAACTGTAGCTTTTGAGTCCCACGAGCATACCTCTAGAACAGAGAAGGCACTTTATCTAACTTGGCCATGGAGTTGTTCAGATTTATATCTCTCCTTCCTAGAGACATTGAAGGACCACTTGGGTCCGTTGGCTGACACCTGCTCTTCAATGAACATGTTCCCATTGCACATAACTTACTATTTAAAGAGAGATGCCCACTGAAAGCAGAACATGGGACATGTCACGTGGTCATGAGAGAGTGCAGAATTAGAAGTTGGGAGAGAGATCCTTACACCTGCCCACTGGTCCTTACACCTGCCCACTGAGGAGAATTTATTTTTAAAGCTCTCAGAAGTGAGCTCACACCTTACCTCCACTTCCAGCTGGTCAACAATTACTGTGCTTCCAACAAAACTGCCCTTCAGCTGTACGATCAGTTTCTCCATCTCCTTCACTTCCATCTTGATCAGCTCAAAGTCCAGTTCAGTGTAAGAAATGGTATCCTTTTCCATGATCTCTATGCGGATGGTTAGGTTGGAGAGCTTTTTTTCATACACGCTGATTAACTGGACATACTCCCTCACCTGAAAGGGAATCAAAATGCTGAAGTCAATTCCCAAAGTAATACCATACAGTCTTCCTCCACTACCAAGCCCTTGGGGACTATTTGATTGCTGTCAAACTTTTTTTTTTCTTTTTTGGTAAAGAAATGGATCAAAAATATATTTGTTTTTTTAATCTATCTAAATGCAAACAAAAAATTATTACAAGTGGTGGGGTGAATTTTGCACTTGCCCAGACTAAAAATTATTTTGCTTCAGAGTCATCATTCACAAAGATATTTTAATTTCCATTTTAATGTTTGAAGATATTAGGTCTCCAAACTAAATTGGCTTGAACCAGACTCCATTGCCCTCCCTCCTCCCCTCAATGCACACACCATATCTAAATTAGGGTTTCCCAGCCTCAGCATTATTGATATTTTAGGCTAGATCATTCTTTCTTGGTAGGGGGAGGGGGCTTTCTTGTGTACTATAGGATGTTTACCAGCATTCCTGGCTGCTAGATGCCACTAACACCCACAGACCATTCAACTGTAACAACCAAAAGTGTCCCAGACATTGTTAATGTTCACTGGGGGCAAAATCACCACCACCACCATCCTCCTTCCATTTAGAACCCCGCTCTAAATCAAAGTATTTTCTAGAAGAGGGAGAAATGCACTAAAGTAGAATTCCTCCTCTCATTGTCATGTGCATTGAGTTTTGAGCCCCTCTACCTTTCACAAAGTGGCAGAAAGACCCAATTTTACCATACAATATGTGAGTGTATATGCAACTGTAAAGTGCACATTTCATTAGGCGCACTCACATTTATTCCAAGAACTGATTATTGCAATCAGACCTTTATGCATTTGTTGCATATATTTGAATGTCTGATCATTAAGCTAAAATACTTGCAAAAATTCCCTTGGTGGTTTAGTGTATAATTGGAAGCTCCAAATGGATATTTCAATAAACACATTTGGTGGTTCTTTTTGTATCTGATCTCTAAAAGAAATGCCATGGCTTTTTTAAGGACCTGCTCATTAAAAGTTACTGGTTTTACATTCTTTTTAAAAATTCGAACATAAGTGATACTTTTCCCCAAGCCATGCTAATGTCAAGTAGCTGATCCATGGTGCCTGGATGAATTCAGAGCCAGATGTTGGCCTATAATCCTCCTAATACCAAAGGCAGCCCTAACTTCTGTCATTTTAGCCCTTCCACTTAACCCCACTGTGCAAATTAGAGCAGACTCATAGGCCACAGACCTAAAGGGCTAGGGCTTCAGGCAAAGAGGATTTTAATGAAAGTTGAAAATGCAGCCGTTGGCAATGCTAGTGTATCTCCTCAGGCAACTGATGCTCACTGCCATCGGATGTGCCATCACTCGGAGGCTGATAAGGCTGGTGACATTTTGGTGGCTAAGGAGGTTAGAAATATATATATATATATATATATATATATATATATATATATATATATATACATATATCTATCCTAACAAGTTCCCCTCTCAAAACTATAAACACAAATATAAGGTAGCCAAGTTTTAATTTCTATAAAAATCAAGCATAAAACCTTGCCTGTGATAAAAAAAATAGTAATAATAAAGTGCCGATCCATTGCAGAAATGGAAGTTTGCAAAATGAATATTCTTGTTGGCATTTGGCCTTGCCAGCACTTGGAACAAATGAAACACCCTCTGCTTTCCTGGAACATGTTGGTGGCACATCGCAGCTGTTGTTCTACAAAAATGAGTGATCCAACTGTCATCTCTGCTAAATAAAATGTGGCTCTTCCAGATTCTCACTGAAAACCAAGGCATAACCTAGAGTTTGCCACCTATGAGAATGTGTGGCATGCCTGCCCTAGTTCAGCCACAAAATGAAGTCTCTAAAGATCTGTTGGGGGATAATTTGAGGTTCTTTCAGCTGGCATTTAAAGGAAACCTCAGTGATATTCAGGAAAACTAGAATCATCCATGGAGTTATAAGAAAGCAGGAAGGAGGGGAACCTGGATGGCTCAGTCAGTTATGTGTCCAATTCTTGATTTCAGCTCATGCCATGATCTCAGGGTCATGAGACTGAGCGTCCTGTGCCAAGCTCTGAGCAGAGCATGGAGCCTGCTTAAGATTTTCTCTCTCCCTCTCTTTCTGTTTCTCCCTCCTACCCTCCCTACCATCGCCCCATTCCCCACTCACACACACACACACACACACACACACACACACTCTCTCTCTCTCTCTCTCTCTCTCTCTTAAAAAAAAAGGCAGGAAGGAATTTGAGGACTTTACTGACTTAAGTAGATTGTTCATATAAACCCTCTTTTACATGTACAGATCTCTAGTGTTGCGATGGTGTGAGCAATTCTGAGCAATCCAGCTTTCCCTGGAAGTGCAGTGTCAGCAGAGGCAGCCTGATTTGCCCAGAGATATGCAGCAAGAATATGGGTCTAGCCCTAAGGGGACACCTCCCTGGGTCAACATCTTTACTGCAAGCTCCTTATCACTACATGCTTGAGCTTTAAAAGACTCGTCTATGCTTGCCTTCAAACCAACAACCTGACACGCAGAGCTTCCATTTTTTTTGTTTGTTATGCACATACTATGTCATTGGTGGGTTCTAAGAATCAAAGTTTGTCTGAGGGTTTGTTTTCGGGTGTTATTGTTCCATATAGTAAATGTAGTCTCATACATTTATCTATATATCTATATATCGTATAGATAGGGATGCAACACGGCTGGCTATTAAGCTTAAGAATCAGTCTGGCTCATGCTTCTGCCTCAAAACCTGTGATCATAATTATGGCCAGATTATTTGACGTAAATGACTATACTCAGCAACATACTGTTACTTTAATATATCATTAACAACAAGATTAGTTGAGCTTGAATTGACTGTGAAGATATGAAATACTTTGGAGTTGGGATCCCTGGGTGGCTCAGTGGTTTAGCACCTGCCTTCAGCCCAGGGCATGATCTTGGAGTCTTGGGATCGAGTCCCACATCAGGCTCCCTGCATGGAGCCTGCTTCTCCCTCTGGCTGTGTCTCTGCCTCTCTCTCTCTTTCTCCTTCTCTCTCTCTCTCTCTCTCTCTCTCTCTGTGTGTGTGTGTGTGTGTGTGCGCACCTCTCATGAATAAATAAACAAAATATTTTTTTTAAAAAAAGAAATACTTTGGAGCTGCAGCTACCTAAACTCAAATCTGCCTTCAGTACTTAGTAGGCAAATCACTTAATTTCTCTAAACCTTAGTCCCTCCTCTAAACTGGGGGTAATGGTATCAAGCTTACAAGATTATTGTTAAGATTAGAGATAATGCATACTAAGTGCCTCACTTAGGGGCTTCTGGCTCACTCCATCAGTAGAGCACGCAACTCTTGATCTCAGGGTTGCAAGTTTGAGCCCAACATTGTGTGTAGAGATTACTTAAAAACAATAAAATCTTTAAAAAAAAAAAGTGCCTCACTATGGGATGTCTATAAACTGCAGCAATTATTAGAAAAATAGTGACTTCAAGGTTTTTTTCAATCTGATCTTTTAATTTATTATATTTCACTACATAAAACATTGTCTAATCAATGTCATTTATTTATAAGTTGCCTAAATGTCTCCAAGACTACCCCAACCTTCTTATGAATGAGGATCTATTAGCAAATGTGTCAGATTAAATAACTTCCCCAAAGATGGTAACCCTCCAGAGAAAGAATATCCTGAGCTGCCTTTTGTGTCATCCTCTCTTGAGTCTCGTCACAAGAGGACATATCATAAACAACGGAAAAGCATAAAATGCTTGCAGCATCTTATGCAGAGGCAGCTCCCTGTCTTCCCTCTGTACTGACAGATAATGAATCAATGTAAAGCAGTCAAAACCCTCTTCTGCTAGCCTGTCCAATCGGCCATTCCTCCCCAGGCATCCAGATAAACGGTGATTTCCAAGACAACTTAGGAACAACTATAATAATTCAATACCTGAAAATTCAAAAGCCCTCAGCTGAAGAGATAACTCTGGATTGAAGGCATTACTGACTTCCTGCATTTCTTCTTTAAGGTTGATAACAGCATGGCAGAGAGAAAAGGAACCGGAAGGATTTCGAAGACCCAAATTCCTGACCTGGCTCGCCCAGCCAAGAGAGGAATGCCTTGTACATTTATGTGTCTTGACCTTTATGAACCTCCATTTTTCCATCCCTAAAATGGGAAGAACACCAGCCTATCTGCCTTAAAAAGTTGCTTGAGAGTAGAACAGACCTGGAAGCATTTAGAAAAGCACAAAAGAAAGCTGCTTGGGTTTTCAAATAAATAAATAAAGATTATTTATTTATTTATTTATTTATTTATTTATTTATTTGAAAAACAGAAAGAGCACGACCAAGGGGAGGGGCAGAGGAAGAGGGAGAAGCAGACTCCCCTACTGAGCAGGGAGCCTGACATGGGGCTCAATCCCAGGGACTTGATCCCAGGACCTTGAGATCATGACATGAGCGGAAAGCAGATGCTTAACTGACTGAGCCACTCAGGGGCCCCAAAAGGAAGCTGTTCAAACCGTTGTTATTATCATCTGTCACACAGAATATATGATGCAAATCTCAACTGGCAGGTCAATTCCTTTCTTAGGCCTCAATCACAGATTCCTTTAGGACCAGCTACTGATACTTTCAGAACTAAAAGTTCTCCCATCTACTTCATACTTCCTCCCTGCTATTTATTAGCAAGGCAGATGCCACCTGCCCCCTTTAAAGGACTGGAATTAAATGTCCCATACTCTCAACCCTGGCAAGCTGCACACTTCCCTGGAGCAGCATGGGGTTGCAAACTGCCCTTCACACTCCTGCCAGCAAAGAAGACATGCAAATCAGGAGCTTCCACTATTTCAAACCAAATGACTCTAACTGAAAAGATCTTTACTTAGGATTTTCCTCCACTTGTTATGTTTTTATGCATAACTTCTTATCTGTACTTGATTATGCTGGAATAAGGCTATGAATATTAATGGTTGGAATTTATAATTTAGTGCTGTGCCTTTTCTGCTGATTAATTCAAGGACATTTTATTTCTTAAGAAGCTAGGTTCCTAGAGTAGTCAAACACATTTTTCTGGACATTCATTTAAACATAGAATATTTATCTACCAATTCAGGTTGAAAGCAGGGTCCCAGCCTCATCATAATTTTTGTCTTAAAGGATAACTGTGCTGGATGTTGAGGTAGCTAAGTTTAAATTTCTCAGGAAAACTTATTTTGAATCTTGTAGGAAAGCCAGAGCTCCTTGTAAATTAATGGAGTTGTACTAAATAATGCATAATATGATTATAGCCTTGCTTGGACTTCACCTGTGCAGAAAATGGGAGCCTTTCTAATTGATTTTTAACTTGGCTAAAAATGTAGAAGGGGTCAAAACTGGAATGCCAGGTCACATTGCTCCAGCAAGCTCAGAGAAAGGCAAACCCTGTGGGATAACTTTCTCTGGGAGAGAAAAGCCGTAATCAGGGGGTTGGAGTCAGGGTTTTTACCAAGGCTGCGTGACCTATTAGGATTGATTCAGATTCCCAGGGAAGCCTTCAGTTTCCGTCTAATGCTAGACATGTCTAATGGAATGTTCCTGCTGAGACAACAGAGGATAACACACGAGAGAGAATGGGATAGAGACACACACAAAGAGACAGAAGGAAGGAGGGAGGGAGGGGGGGAAGAGAGTAAACTGGAAAGAGAAAATCAGAGGAAGAGAAAGGAAAAGACAAAAGGATAATAAGACAAGCTTCCAAGAGGGGAGGAGTGGAAGGAAGAGGTAAAATGGAGATGGGGCTTTCCAAAAGTAAGGGAGGACCAAAAGTTAACAAACAAACAAAAAACAACCCAATTAGGAAGGAAAGGGAGAGAAAGATTAGAAGGGATGGATCAGGGAAGGGGGAGTGAAGAGGAATAAGAAGGAAAATTGAAGGAGAAGGAAGAGAGAACAGAGGATAGAGGAGAGGAAAGATGTGGCAAAGCCAGGAAGGGAGTGGGGGGATGAGGAAGAAGACTTATAGGAAGAAGAAACATTGGAACCAAAACCAAATAAAAATTGCAGGGTTGGGTGTCTCAGGGGGAGCTCAAGGTTTCTTTCCAACTGCACCTGCACAATATTGAAGTGAGTTTATCCGTGGCATGCACAATCTCTCTCCGTCCCATTTTCTTACTGCGCCCTCATTTTTCCTGCTATCAAGATCCCTGCAGGTGTCCTGTAAAATACATGCTAACACCCCCCTGGGACAGAAGCATGCTGGCTTTGGCACAACCAAGAAGGCCGATCAAGCCCTGAATAAGAGGGGTTTTGTTTTGTCAGTTGGTTTGTTCTTATCAAGATTTGGTTGGAAGAGGAAGAAAGCAATGCTTACTTTAGAAAGCTCTTTCTCGAACTTCTGGGAGAGAACGTGGGCCGTGAGTTCCAAGCGTTCCACTCTCTGCACGGGAAAGGTGGTGTCTGGGAGCACGATGGAGCACTGGCAGGTCCCGTGGTCATCCTCGAAGCCAGTGAAATTGGAAAGCGACTGGAAATGAAAATAAGTTCAACATCAGTAATGAGTTAGGAAATGAGCTTTTTGGTAACTGGAGTGACAGGAATTGGCCTGTCAAGAGTGCTCAGAGGCAATCAAGTGGAGTTCAATCCATGAATGAACAGAATCAGGGGCGCCTGGGTGGCACCTTCAGCGAATCCCCTGCTTCTTGATTTTGGCTCAGATCCTGATCTCAGGGTCATCAGATCGAGCCCCACCAGGCTCACACTCAGTGAGAAGTCTGCTTGAGCTGCTCTCTCTCCCTCTGCCCCTCCCCCCCACACACATTCTCTCTCTCTCTCTCTCTCTCTCTCTCTCTCTCAAATAAGTAAGTAAATCTTTAATGAATGGATGGATGGATGGATGGATGAAGGGAATCAGAGACACAAACCAAAACTGCCATGTTTCCCAGGCAGTGATTTACACTTACTTCAGCCACATTTCCACCAACCAGGCTTAAACATTGCCAGACACCTTACCTAAAGGAAGATTCTCCTTTCTTGAGGAGGCTTCCAGGAAATTATTACTGTTGCCACGTAAGGAAAGACAAATAAAGAAGTGATGGGCAGCCTAAGTTTGAATTCCAATTCTAGCACTTATTGGACATGAACCCTCTGTAAGTCTTGCTTTCCTCATCTGCCAAATAGAGATAACCCACTTCACAGGGTCATCCCCAAGAGTAACCAAGTACCATAAATCAAGTCCACTGGCACGTGGTCAGTGATCAGTAAGTGTCATTTTCCCTTTCTTTCCATGTACTCATTTTCTTTACCCCAAGCCCAACCCAGTGCCTTCCAACAGAATGGGAAAACTATCACAGATATGGGTTACAGGCAAAACATACAGTGCAAATTCCATACTCTCTTCACCTGGGAAATTGTATAATTAACATTCTTCAAAATAGAAATAAACCAGCCATTTTTAAAAGACTGAATAATGTAGGAGTTTGAAGGTATTGTGCAAAAAAAAAAAAAAAATTTTTTTTTTTAAGTTTTCCAGCTTACCACTTGCAGAAAAGCCATTTTAAAATATTTGATGTTTCTTTAAGATATTCAGGCTCACATTTTGGTGCCGCTGCGTATTTTAAAATGACAGGTTTGAAAGATCCTGTTTTTCTTTTGTCCCCTTTGAACTTCCCCAAGGGGATCCCAGCACAATTAGCATTTTTTTATTACTACTATTGTCTTCCAGAGGAACTCTTGGCAGCTGACTGGCTGAGCTTTACAATGATCTCATCTGATGGCCAGCCCAAAGATCACCTGTGGAACATCAGACCAAACTGTCTCCCTGGAACTACCAAGGGCAGAGCAATGGTTTGCAGAATTTGAAGAGATGCAGGCCACACCTCTCAAAGTTTAGGTCAGCTGGCTGCAGCTAAGGTTGTGTGCTCTCTGCATTTAATATCTATCAACCTCCGTGATTTCCAAACAAACTGGACCTAGATGCTTCTATAACCAAGATCCATTCTGTCAGTGAACTCTAGATGAATTAATTCAGGCTTTTGCAACTAAATTGCTTGCCAGTTTAACCTAATCTTCTTTAAGATAAACAAAAATACACACACACACACAACACACAGAGGTTATGGATATATATATGCCAGGTCAGTTCTTGACATTGGCCTAAATTTTCTTTGCCAATCACAATCAACACCTGCAGGATCTGGGGAATAAGGAGGAGAGACAAGCAAGTTTATCCTGAACACAAGGGCTATGGGAGGGGGTTAAGGGAAGGGTCTTTGCCGGGGATGAGGAAGGCCTGGACAAGCTACACCAGAAGTCTGTCAGAGAGACCAGCTTCCCTAAGAATCAGATTTTTCACTCCCACTGAAGCTAGAAAGACTCTGGTTCAAGCGTGCCAAAGCTTTTTCAGGAGGACCAATGTATTGTGGACTTTCAAAAAAAAAAAAAATAGCTTATTATAACAACTATCTACCCACCCCCAAAACGTCCTGTGTTGCATTTTGACAAGAGGAGGTTAATTAGCTGCACAAGACGGGTTTGAACCATTCTTAGAGTTTGCTGGAAACCTCTGTCAAATCAGAAAATAGTGGAGATCCTCAAGCAGTCTCTAGACAATCAACTAGAAACCACTAGCTAACAACTTTTAGTCCTGAAGTTCACCTGAAAGACAGGCAAATAATTATAAGCCCTGCTGACAGCCATTCCACTGTCTTCTATTGAATATCTCCGTCCCAGCACTGTGGACTCCCCAGCTTCCATCCTGCTTATCATCAGCCCAGCATGCTCAGCTGACATCAAAATGGTCCATAAGTTTGATCAGTGTCTCCCATTAGAGATATTTCTGCTTCTCACATTCAAAGACAATGAAGCTAATGGTGATGGGTCTCTCTCTCTTTGCAGTGAATGCATAAACTCTACGTGAAGGTAACATGAGGAATGGGAGACACACACGTGTGCTTATCCGCTTGGCCTTTGAGAGGATATGCAGTCCCCCTCGTGGAGGACAAATAGGACCCTCTGTACCTTACAAGACACCTCACATTGATGAGTTCTCCTCCAGCACGTGTTCAATTAACATTTACTGATGTCTACAGTTCGCCAGGCTTTGGTGTTCAGGAGACAATTAAGACCCAATTCCTGCCCAGTGAATCAGGCCCATTGTCATTAGAGAGGCTTTCGTGTCTTTTTTTTTTTTCCCCCAACAAACCCAAACCCCTTAGCCTGATGACATAAGCACACGACTCCTGGTTCCGACTCTGCCAGTCACTGTGCAGAACAAAGCATGGAGCTTTTTCTTGTCTGTGAAATGAGGACTGTGAGAGTGGCCCCTTCTTGAAGGGGTGAGGGTGGGGTGGAGGGGGACATCTGAGGCATGTGGAGTGCTCTGAGTGCTAGAGCTGAAGGTGTGACTCACATTTGTGATTTAAGGTTGCAATTGGCTCTAATTAGCAGCCAGGTCTAAGTGCCTGTAAAGATTCAAGGCATAAAATAATGGTACTCAACATTTTCAAAGTACAGAAAATGATACGTTTGGAACTTACTCAATGACAGTTATAAAGGGGTTTTCCACCACTTTCCAAAGATCTCATCAAGCTGACAGCCAGCCCTAGAAAATTGGGTTTATAGTAGAAGTGACACCTTGCCTGCTATAAAAAAGAAGTTGGGGTAGTGATACTGACTCACCAGAGGGAGATAAGTAAACCAGGAAGGAGATTAAAACCTCTAAGTACAATTTAACTACCACTCCTTATCTACTTTTAAATAGTTATCTTTTTATGAGACAATACGCATGTTGGATTTCTCTGTTTCTTGATGTATATTTTATTTTCTGTTATTTTAGCTGATGGTCTTCCCCAAATGCTGGTTTCTGATTAGTGGTGAGGCTTCAAAAGAAACGATTTATTGTTAACCTCTTTCTTCAATGTTAACCAGTTCTAATTGTCCCCAGAGATCACCTAGTATCATGAAATAAAATGATGCATCTGATTCCTGGCTACAAAGAATATCTGAACATATTTATGACTTCCCAAACCATTCTCCTCCTAAAAATAAGCAATTTTCAGGCACCTGGGTGGCTCAGTGATTGAGCGTCTGCCTTTGGCTCAGCTCGTGATCCTGAGGTCCTGGGATCGAGTCCCGTATCAGGCTCCCCACAGGGCGCCTTCTTCTCCATCTGCCTATGTCTCTGCTTCTCTCTCTCTGTGTCTCTCATGAATAAATAAATAAAATCTTTTTTAAAAAGCATTTTTCATCTACACTCCCCCAAAACACAGAAAGCTGCCTAGGGAGAGTGGTGAAAAGGAGGGGCAGACTAAGTCTGAGCTATATAATCTGCTGATTTAGTAGCTTTAAGTCAGTGACGTCACCTCTCTAAGCCTCCATTTCCACATCTCTAAAACGGGATCATTAATTTTACCGACCTCTGAGAGTTAAATGACATAACACATATTATGTACTTAACCATGTCTAGTCATTTATTAGGCACTCAATGAACACTGTTGTGGCAGTTCCTATCTGGGCCCTATCCAAACCATTCATTAATCGACAAATTTCCATTGCCTCCATAGTTCTCTTTTTAAGATTTATTATTTACTTTAGAGAGGGAGAGCTCACTCGAGCAGGGAGAGGGCAGAGGGAGACAGAGAGGGACAAGCAGACTCCCAGCTGAGCACAGAGACCCAACACTACAATGTGGGGTTCCATTCCATGACCCCAAGATCATGACCTGAGACAAAATCAAGAGCCAGCTGCTTAACCCGCTATGCCACCCAGGTGCCCTTGCACTGCCTACATAGTTCTGATGGAAACTACAAAAAAGCCTTTTCCTCCCCATTTCCCAGTGGCCCTTCTATTCAACCTGACCTGGGAATAAAGATCATAAAAGTGCACAGGGACAGCCTTTGGGGGAGTTAAGACTCCTCCACCCCAAGGCACACCGTAGCAAGGAAAGCTTGGGTTTTACAGGGGGGGGGGGGTCCTACAGAGAGACCCAGAGCCCACAGGGGCAGAGTTGGAATGAGGAAATGTTTCCTGACCCCTAATGTCTCACCCCTCCGTGCTTCTTCCCAACTCCTCAAAGGAGATACAAAGAGGACTCGGCTCTCAAGGAATGAGGCTCATGGAACAGCCTAGTCACAGGGCCTAGCTGGGACAGTCCCTTTCAAGCATATTCTTTGGTTTTTGTTGTTGTTTGTTTTGTTTTGCCTGCTTATTGCTATTGAGGCTGTTGCTGTTTTTGGAAATAACTCTTAGGATTCCCTGTAGGGAAGATAGAAGAGAGTTAATACTCTTTTGGGGGCATATCCACTGTAAAAGCACCTTCCTGAAGACCTCTCCTACTTCCGAAATCCACTTCCTTTACAAATTAGACCCAGAGAAACCCTCGTGGCTGCAGCTGGAACAACGTAGCTCTCACTCCCTCAAGGCTATTCTTGATGGTCCTCAGGGTCCCAATGGGCAGCAAATCAAACTTTTCTGTAGCCTCCATTGGTAGGGCACCTTCCCTAAGAGTTCTCATCTGGGATAGAACCTGGATCCTCCCATCTCCACCCCCCAACCCCCATTCTAAAGCGCAGGCAAGTTTAAGAACCTCTTAAATACTTAGATTTTTTCCCTGAAGTCCCCAGAGGAAGAACCAAGATGTTGTCTCCCTTGCAAGCAATTTAATTATTTTACCCAGGTTTTAATTCATTTCCAGGGCACCTACAGTTAACAAAGGGAACTGTAAATCTTTTAGAGTGCTCCCGGTTAGCCATCCATGAAATTATATTCAAGTCCCCAAAAATCGAGGGGAAGGGAATGAACACAGCTCCCAGACTGTGGAGCCTCCTCACCTGAGACACGGAGCCAGGACCGGGATGAGAGCTGCTGCTGGAGCTGAGTACAGAGTCAGAGAAAGAGCTGGAGGTGGGGCTGGAGATCCACAAACTCCCTGTGGTCTGGCAAAAGAGGAATGGAAGGCCTAGGAGGCAGAAGAGGCCTGGCCTCATCTTGTGCTCTTAGCTGGAGCCACTGCCTTCTGCCCAGAGCCTAGGGCTTCTTATAGGGCCCAATGGGGATTTCCCCACATCCAGTTTGTAGGAAGAGGAAGCCACCAAGGAGCATGTGACCACCCTAGGATGGTCAGGACACCTGGGAACCTGAATCACCTTCACACCTTGTCACTGAGCCCCTCTGCCAGCTGCCCTTTGATCTAGATATCTCCTGCCAAATATTAACTCAAATGTGTTTTTTGAAGGCCAATATCGGTTTCTAACTTGTTACTTCCTTGAAAGAGATGGGTTCAAAGCAATCTTTGTGGATGAAACAGAGCTTGGAGGTCCCAGGAGGGAAAAATAAGCCTCAGTCCTTTGCCCAGAAGTTTTTTTCTAGTTGTTTCCCTGGACCTGCCCCACCTCTCGTTTTACTTTCCAGAGAAAATTAGGGAACTTGCTTTAGAGGCTGTGAATCTCCCCACAGGGACTCCCTCTTTAGCTGCTACTGCCCAGGTTGTCTCTGACCTTCCCCTTACAGAGTCTGCTTCTGGACAATTTTTTTCCAACCACCTTCCACTGAGGGAGAGACCAGCAGTGTTTTCGCCCTGGATGCTCAGTTACGGCTTTGTATGACCAAGCACTCACCACTGCGAGCCTGATAAAGAGGAAGGAATCCAAACAGGAGGCTGCCCAGACTAGTTAGGGAGGTCCATGTTGAGCAGTTTCTCTCACCAGAAGGCTCTAGCTGACTGACTTCCATTGTCCCAGACCCTCTTGTGAACTGGTCAAGGCATGTTCATCATGAAACTGAGAAATAGGGATGCATCTTTAGGCTGCATTTGGAAAATCTGCTTCCTCCCTATAGAGTAAAAAAGTATTGGCCTGAATATTAAAAACCAGTTTTCTCACTCATTAGTTAGTGGCCTTAGGCAAACCACTTAGCCCCTCTAGTGTTGTAACAATTCCTAAGTTGTTAGAATTAAATGAAGTATTATATGAGAAGTTGCTTATAAGCTTTGAAGCACTATACAGATGTCACATTTTATGCTTTTTGGTTTTATCTTTAATTTCCTAAAATCTGGCTCAATATGTAAGATTGTTCATTTCACAGCAGGGAAAGAAGGCCCCTGCCCCACCCCCTCCATTCCCCACCCTACCACAGGAATGCTTTGGAAAACCTGAAGAGTTCTTTCACCACATAAAGTCTCAGATTGGGAAAAACAGAGCCTGAAATCCTTGGTACACAATTCAGATACTCAGGGGAGGGGACAGGAAGGAAAAATATGAATGAATGAATGAATGAATGAATGAATGAATGAATGAAGAAGGAAAGAGGATAGGAGGAACAGGGAAATGAAGTCTCTCTCTTTGTGGTGTACCCAAGGCCCCCTTGGGCTGCATCCTTGAATCAATGCCCCACATTGCCCCTTACTTCAGAGGGCTGAGCAGAAACCCCACCTAAATCAGTCTCCCCAGCTTTAGGATCCCATCCTCCAGACTATCACTGCTATCTCCCCATTGAAACACACTACCTGAGCCACAGGATGACCTCACAGGCTACTCTTCCACCCATATGCATGGGTGATGAGAGGCAGTTAGAGTAGAACCAGGAAGACACAGGAGCTTTCTGGAAACAACAGCTTTCACCTATATTATTTGCTCCAAAGGCAATCAATCTGTGGTAGAGATTGAGGTCTTGGACAGGTAATCCATGGCCGGGTGCTAGGGGAGTAGGAGGAGTATTTGTAGCCCCCTCCTCTCATAGTCTGCCCTATGTCGAGTTATTAGATTTAACAAATAAAGATACAAGACACTCAGTGCAATCTGAATTTCAGATACATAACAAATCATTTTTTTAATATAAGTATATCCCATGCAATATTTGGGACATACTTACACTAAAATAACTGTATGCTATTTATTTGACATTCAAATTGAACTGGATTGGATGCCCTGTATTTTATCTGGAACCCTCCTATTGAAGGCTGCTTGCTCCACCTGGACAGAGCCTCCTGGGGCAGGATATGAGCTGCAAAGTTCACTGGTCCCTGTGGGAAGCAATTCATCCTTGGCCTCTTTGGCTGAATGTTCTAGCCATTAGATGCCCAGTCCAAAATAGGAAAAGCATAGGACATGTGTGAGAATGAACACTGGCATGCCAAATGTATTTTCTTGGGTCTGAATGCTATGAATATGGATATGAGGAGGAGAGCTTTCCTCTCCCTTCCATCACATTTTCCCTCTTCCTCCAGATCCCCACCAAAGCAAAGGGCAAAATCTCTTCTCATTTGCCAGTAGCCTCTGCCTGTGGCCATAATGAGCTTTTCTTGTCCCTTTTATCAAGGAGCGTGTCGGTGCCCTTGTCAGGAAAAAAAAAAAAAAACTCATTAACAATAATAGTCTGTAGTCATGACTACCTTTAGGGACTTCTATGACCAATCCTTTAGGAGACCCCTTTCCAGAGGGGTTACATTCAGACAGGAATGAGGCAGCAATTCTCCTAAACACAAATGTGCCCCAGCCAGAAAAAAAAACGCCCAACCCTCACACGGTGCTCTTAAGCTGCTTTGCTCCTGTGTACCTCCAGTTCTCAGAATAAAACTTTAATCTATTTGGTAGCCTCAAATGCACAAAAGAATTGGTGATGCCTCAATAATGAGATTATTAATAATAATAGTTTGATCAGTTCCTCTGCAAATATCTTTGTCCTAAGAAAAAAACAAGCCTCCAGGTTATTTGACAGCCTCAAAGACAGAAGAAAATTATCGGCACTGCAAAGCAAACAGTGTATTATTTATAAAAATTTGTTCTGACACTGGGTTCTCTCTAGAGGAAGAGGTCACCGAAATTCACTTGAGTAACACAGCATTCCTCATTGACAGCTTGAAGGAAAGTTACTGTTTATGCACTTCATTAGGGGAAATCCCTAAAGCTGTACTTCTTGAACAGTTGCAACACACAGGAAAGATGTCCATATAAATATAACCTTAATTTAATTCCCTTGTCATTAAAAACCAATGCCAAGCATAACTGTGGTACTTTCAGAAGACAGTGTCTTTAGGATCTATAAAAAGACAATAGAAGTCGTGTTTAGTCCACAGACTGATTACAGAGATTGTGCTGGGGTGACCATCTTCATGTCTGTTGATTCTGTCCCCCAAAACCGTCAAATGTCTATTAGTAATGCCAGTAATCCTGTGTAAAAATAATAATCAACTGACACCACTCATGCTCCATGGAAAGGTTAGCAATGTGTATTAGGCCCTCATTAACAATGTGTAGTAGGCCCGACTCTGGGCCAGATATCAGGCCCTACAAAGAGTTGTCAAGTGAGAGGAAAGTATAATTTTTACTAATGACAATGTCTAAGCCCCCTGGGGAGACAGGACACATCAAAGAACATTCTAGAAAAAATAACAAATTAAACACAAAACCAATTACATTAATACTGAGGAATGGCTGGATAGACTATGGTGATCCAATCCAGGTAGTGATAGGGAAACACTTGCCAGGTGGTGAGCTTCTTAAGAATGGAGATGAAGGCCTTGTTGGTTTTGAGCCTAAAAACCTAGCCCAGTGCTTGTCACTCGGTGTTAAATAAATATTTGCTAATTGGAAAAATGTATTTAATAAATATATAAATGAATGAATGAGTTGATTTAAAAAGAATTATGAGGGAGGGGTGCCTGGGTGGCTCAGTCAGTTGAGTGTCCAACTCGATTTCAGCTCAGGTCATGATCTCAGGGTCATGAGATCCAGCCCCGCACCAGGCTCTGCACTGGGCGTGAAGCCTGCTTCATATTCTCCCTCTCTCTCTTCCTCTGTCCTTCCCACCCCCTCCTCAACAAAGAGTTGTGAAGGAAATTCCTAAATTACTGTTGAAAAAAAACAGGAATTGTTTCAATGACTGTTAGGGAAAGAGAATGGGTTCCCATCAAGAGAAATTGCATAAGTGAAAGAACTCAGGCCATCTCAGTTCTCTCCAGGGTCACGATTATGCCTATACCTCTGCAATCTCATGTAGCCAACCCTAGCAATTTATTCTCAGATCAGAGTTCCTCAGATTATTCCTCAGCCTGACCCAAAAGCCCAAATCAACATTCCAATTCCATAAGCAATTATATAGCAGGAGCTAACTAACTAGCTTTGGCCATCCCATAAGGGTTAGAAGATTCGAACCCCAAATTATGGAATTTTCAACTAAAAACTTATATATTCAGTCTTCAGGAAAATCATCAAAGTTGACAAAGTACATAACCAAGCTAGTAAAAAATTTTAAAATTTTTTAAAAAATTAAAAAAAATGTAACTAATGCAACCAGTGCAAGGTTCTGTGCAAATGCTGAAAAGCATCAACAACAAAAACACATCAGAAGGTAACATATAATGTATTAACTTTTCAGTAATATAGAGAAACTATATCCTTTTTACAGAGAAAGTTTGGACTAGAGAGCCATAGGCATGCTCAGAGTATTTCCTTCAGGGATGCTGATGTGCAAGTCAGGAAATACTCACCTCCACCAGGGCGGATGGCCTCAGGCTTATCTCTGGATCCCACAGGATCTGCCCAGTGGACCTAGGACCATGGACAGCCCCCTAAATTCCTCTTTTTTTATTTTAGATTTTTATTTATTTATTCATGAGAGGCAGAGACATAATGGGAGAAGCAGGCTTCTTGCGGGGAGCCCAGTGTGGGACTTGATCTCCAGACCTGGGATCACGCCCTCAGCTGAAGGCAGATGCTCAACCACTGAGCGACCCAGGCATCTCCCCTAAATTCCTCTTGCCATCTCCTGGCCACTGCATTAAGGCATCCCCTCACTGCATCTCCATAGCAACACCTGAGTTTGCTATTGGATATTATAAGTCATCCACCATCCCTTAAAGGCCAGGTGAGTTGGTTTTCCCAACCAGAGGTGAAGGTGCTTCTTCCTCTTGCTTATCTGCCCCACTGCAGAAACTTGCCTCACATCCAAATTATGGATGTGAGTTATGACACCAGGCTTCTCCACTAGG